AATTGATTGCATTGCAGAACGTTTAAATGCTTGCGTTACTGCTGCAGCTCATCATTTTGAACATGTAATTTAAATAAAATTTAATTTAAATGAAATGAAAGTTCATTTATGTTATCATTGCTTTATCGTAAATTTCTCAGTTCAAGATCATTTAAAGGTCATAGTGTAACACATCGTTGTACTCGTCCTGACGGCAGCTATAATCTTATGATGTTGAAAATATAGGACGTAATTCGAAAATTACCGAAGACCTTCAAAACACCTTGAAAATTACAAAATTCGGAAATTCTTTTTATATCCTCAAATTTGCCCCCTTAAACAGTACAACTTTTTCCTCTAACATTTTCTTCTATCTTCAAGACGAACTGAGATAATTAGGTGTTCTGTTTCTCGTGAATCACCCGGTATATTTGTCGATTTTTTAATTCAATTACTACATAACTACACATGATAGTGATGACATACATTATATCTACTCTTTCTCATAAATAGTTTCTAAGCAAGTTTCTGTTAGAGAAATAATTTCAGAGGTTGGTGTTGCTTCTATTAGCAAAGATGGCAACACTGAAAACAAAAGAGTGTGTGCGAGTGCGAATGTGTCCGGGGCAGACCCTGTATGAATGTCGGAATGAACGAACGTGCTAAGCGTAAAACTGTCAAACGTGGTTCAAGAATTTTATTTCATAATCTAAGGACATCGTCCATAATAATTGCAGACACCGAGTGTTACTTTAGTGTGTTAAATCAACCACAAACAGAATATATTTTTTTTTATATTATTTACGAAAACTAAATAACTGCGCACGTTTTATTTCCTTTCCACGCAAAACCTCAACAGTTTCGCTTGAGCGAAATTGATGGGAAACCACAACATAATATTCATACAATTTTATTTTGTCTCTTTATACATCTCTTTTTCGTTCTAGTAACTTAAGAATACTATATATTTGTAGAGTTTAAGCGGTAACGTTTAACTCGTCCATCTCACTGTGGTAAATGACTACATCAGTCAACGCCATGTTGGGTACCATGAAGTGGCGCGGATGAACGGGTCTGTCTAGGGGGAATCCCATGGGGCGTCCGTCAACCGGAAGATCGCCCAAGCTAGCTACCCTGACGTGCGTGAACTTGTCCGTGTCGATTGGCGAAACAATCACGAACAGTTGGTACTCCATACCCTCTTTTTTGCCCTTAGGTAATATTAGTCTGTCGGGGAAACCATACTTGGACACGGTTTGGATGTGGGTCTCGGTGCCTTTGATGTTCGCCACAATGTTCTTGTAAAATGCATGGCTAGGAACTTCGTCTGGGATGACGAAAGTGGATTCGTGGCTTCCTCTGTCGACGTTGTTGGTTCCGGCTTTCACTGGAATGAAATTTATGTCTGTTAGAAACCTAACATTCTACGAGCTTCAAAACCATCGAATGATATACATAGGTCAAGGTACACGTCTATCTAAATCAGAGATAGTTCACTTAGGTCCCCCCAACATGGCGAATTTTGCCAAAGCTTGCAGGACTTGAAGTGGACAATACAATAAAATAAAAATTTCAAGAATTGATGGCATTAATGTGATAGCACTGTAAATAATAATAATATTTGAGTGTTACTAGCGGAAATGTAAGTTCAATGGAAAGGAAAGAACTATAGAACTCTAGAAACTGTTACCTTTATACTTTTACGTTAGTATTGAACACTCCTTCAGTCCGACAAAATTCGGTTCTATTTAAAAGCATGGAGTGAGCAGCCCCCAATCTAACAAGGGAAAAGTTCGGCATTTATCACATGCAGAAAAATTTGAATTTTTGCAGAAATAAAGCTCGTGGTGGCCTAATCACAGTGCTCTTTTCCGTTTTGGCCCAAAAACGGTTTTAAGGGTGGAAATACCCTTTCGAAATAATACCGATTACTTATATTTTTGCTAATATCTCTGAAACCATAAGAGATATCGAACAAATTTTAAATACAAAATTTAATGGTTTTTAAAATTCTATAACACCGTAAAGAATTACATATCTTTCCACCATCCACTGCATACAAATTGTATGCGCAGTTTTGTGGACGTATTCATACTGTACAACATACATCTCACCAACTTTATTATATTTTTAATCAAATTCGTGTTACTGTCCAATATAGGTACGTATTCTGTACTGTGCGTCGGATTTAAAATTTGATAAAATTGTAACACTTGATTGACCAAACGGTTTTCAATTATCAGAACGGAAAACGGTGTGTATTTAGGTGAAGAATTTTTGAAAAATGTGGAACTATCGAAAGAGTCTATTTTGTAGTTCTTTTTAGCGGAAAAGTATATACAGGGTGTCTCAAAAATGTTGTAACACCTTGAAAGGGGTGGTTCGGGAGGTGATACCGCTATCGCGGCCGCTCCAACGGTATATGCGCGCTCTGATTGGTCAGTGTTTTCCGTTAATATTTCATCAACGAAGCCTCGGACAACATTTTCGCTAAGGAAAAAGTTGTTACAAATCACCTCCTGAACCACCCCTTTCAAGGTGTTACAACATTTTTAGGACACCCTGTATAAAGTTGCCTAATCATTAAAAATTCGTAGCTCTCTTAGTAATGAAAATTTCAGTTTGAATCTTTTTTTCGTTTTAGATTTCGCAGAAACCTACAAAAAAACGTGGAGAAATTTTTTCTCTAAAATGAAAACCTAACTCTTTAAAAATGAATGAATGATTTCAATAACAATTCTCATGGGGGTTGCACATCGCTTTTGTCTATAAAAAACTAAAATTGTCTATAAAAATTATTTTTCACTTCCTCGCAAAAAATGATGCAAGTTTCGTTGAATTGTCCGAGAAATTTTCCGAACAAAAAAGAAACATAATTTCGAAAAAAGAAATGATCCTTTAAAAAAATATTTCAAACAGACGTTGTACATCTTGATGAGACATGACATTGTTGGCAAATATATTCTTTCGAGAAACGAATACCTTTCGAGATATTTTTCTGGTATGTTTATACCTTTTGTATACCTATGTATACCTTTTGATATAAATTTTGTATTTTTTTTCTCATAGATAATTAAAGTTAATAGATATATTATTTAACAAAATTTGCTTCATTTCCAGCAAGGAAGTGAAAAATAATTTTTATAGACAATTTTAGTTTTCGACCAAAAGCGATGTGCAAATGCCCATGAGAATTGTTATTAAAATCATTCATTCATTTTTAAAGAGTTAAACGTATTCTATACGTTTTTTGCAGGATTCTATGAGATCTATAACGAAAAAAAGTTTTAAACCGATATGTTCATTACTAAAAGTGCTAGAGCTCCCACAAAATTGACCATTTTTTAATATCCTATTGTATGAATACTTCATCGAGTAAAGGTATACGTACGGTCCGCGAGAAATTCATCCACTTGCAGGAAGTTCTTGTAGTTGTCCGCTAAACGAAGCTCGTGTCCGTAAACATCACGTTTCGGTCCAAGAAAGATACGGATCATCGCCCTGGTATTCTTGTCACTGTTTACGACAATGTGGTACGTAAACGGTTTGTGATTCAGGCGTTGCTGGCGTGCCAGAATAAGGGTATTCGCGGCTTGGTTGTGAGTTTGAATCGACAATCCATTGTTCAGCATCGTCTCGAAATAGTCGAAGTACGTCACAAGCCTGTCTACGGTTACCGAAGTGACGGTCACGCCAGGGAATAGCAATTCTTCTGTCTTGTACAGTGGCAGGTTCTTCTTGTATCTAAAAGTGGATGTATTTGTTTCAGTATTCATCAGTTCCTTGTTCAAGATACAGTCTGTTCGGGAAGAGCATTTGCGGCAGAATTTATTTTGGGCGAAAGAAAATTCGGTATTATGATCTGTTTGGTTATGTTGAGTTACATTGTATTATGGTGTATTAAATTCTATTATGTTCAGTTATATTGTAATATGTTATGTTTTCTTTCATCATTCATGCCTGGTTTATCCAATCTAAGAAATTCATTCAACAGACATTTAAACACCCAGTAAAGGTGTGCATGTATGGAGCTACTTCTCAACAGACTGTAAGTGAAAGAAACGAAGCAAAACGATGCAAACCTGTGGTAGTAAGTGAGAATATCCTTATACATGCTGTAAAAAACAGGATCCCTCAAGCTGGTGCTCATGTATTCGAGAGCACCGGGTACGACTTGATATTGGACATTGGATTGGAAACCGAATCCAAGGAGTCTCCTCAAAACTAGATCCAACTGTCCATAGAGCTGTATGTTGATACTATCTGCATTACCTTCTACGATGTTACCCAGAATGTTTAATCCATTTTCTGTGTAGATGTTGATATGATGACCTGCCTTGTCCACGACGTAGCCAATGTCGATGGCGGTCGAAATTCTCTGGTGGAGGTCCTTAAGCATCTGTAACAGGGCCCAAGAGAATGATCGTTGTAAAGTAATCAGACTCAAACTTTACAATTTAACTAATTACCCATTTAGGAAGAGTCTACAGCTTGGAAGGAACTTTCTATATTAGCATATAGTAATCTAGCTTGATATTAATTTGTGCATACTGTTGCAAGATTTATCAAAAGCTTCACTTCACTTGACTCAAAGACCCAAACTTTACAATTTAACTAATTACTCATTTAGGAGGAGTCTACAGCTTGGACGGAACTTTCTATCTTAGCACATAGTAATCCAGTTTGATATTAATTTGTGCATACTGTTGCAAGATATATCAAAAGCTTCATTAATTTCTAACTATTGACCACTATAAGTAGACTCAAATCCTTACCTGAACATAGTTATGCATATGAAGAGGTATGATTCCGTTGGTTTCTCTTTGAGGGAAAGGAAGTCCATTACGATGGTGCATCGTAGGATAGTATCCATTTACAATGGGCTTGTCCACGCTCACGTACTCAATTGGACCCAAGTCGTTTGACAATCTTTCTAGGTTGTATCTGAAATAAATTTTAGTTAGCTTTGGCGTTTCCTATATAAACTGTGGGATACGATAGAATGTTTAATTAGGTATTAAACTGCGGATTTTATGCATTTATGATATAAGCGCACATGATAAATACATGGTAAATATACAGGATATCCCAGAAGTGTTGGAGGTCCTTGGAAGGGGTGGTTCAGGAGGTGGTTTGAAACATTTTTTCCTTAATAAAGCCTCGGATAACATTTTCGCTAAGGAAAGAGTATTTCAAATCACCCCCCGAACCACCCCTTTCTAGGACCTCCAACACTTCTGGAACACCCTGTACAAGCAAAATATATGCACTTATACAAAACAAAATAGCAATATTATTATATTAATTAATCAAACATATTCTAATATTTTAATATATTTTATTAATATATATATTATAATATTATATTATTATTATATACAGGGTGGTCCACGCAATTGTTTCAAGTCATAACTCCGTTATTATTGTATTTACCAAAAAATGGCAAAGAAGAAAGATAACTGGTTCGAAAAGCACTACACCTGTAGGCCTTTAAATTTTTTTGAGATGCAGCAGTGCATATGCAATTAACAATTGCATCATTTCTTTAGGGTCATTACACGCGAAATCAGGCACTAAGTGGAGCAGCATGTCAGATTTTGTGCGAGTATGTTGAAGACTTAAGTGCTACTTAAACGTATCTGAGAGGTTTTGATCAAAATTTCAAAAGTAATGTATTTTACAGGTTTTGAATGAAAGAAAATATAATATTAAAATGGGATAATATATACGTGTGACAAAATCGATTTGGAGATAAAGATTGCTTTGGCTTGTGTGCATTCGAGTAAAGTAAAAAAACGACATTAAAAATTCGTCCCTCAAGAAGTTAAACTAATGGAATCTACACTTTTGAAAAAATTTAAAAATGAGATTATGTCAACGATGTTTATTTGTCTAGATATAAAGTGTGTAGTATCATCAACAATAGAAATACTTAGTTTATAAATGGCAATATATCGATTTATAGCGCCATCTAAACATAATGTAGAAAATTTATGCATACACCTATTAAATAAGTATCAATTTCCGCGAAACGCTTTAATTTGAAGTATCTATTTTTCTTTCTTATCCTTTCATTTCAGATGTGTAATAAATTATTAATGCAAGCGAAGCTATTTAACGTACCTGTTCAACATTTGTTTGTGTATAAAGAAGTAGTATTCCCCACGAAACTGGCTAGGCAAGTTGTATTTAGTGCTTGGCATGAAGCGAGGGAAGTCGTGGTTCACCAGGAAGTAGAATGTGTTGAGACCAATGTCCTCGGTGAAGTAGTTTATTCTTTCTTCGGTTGTACTTTCCCTAGTCCAGTACCAGCCGCTGTAGTTGGCCGGAAGTACGAAATGATGAACGCTTCCCACAGTCCTTGTTGCACTAGCTGTTAAATTAAAACAATTTTCGTATATACAAGTATCTTATTGTAACAATTCATATTAATCAAAGATATTGTGTAGATAAAGTAGAGGTGTTATAGAGACATTTTACCAAATAATTGTAGTTTCTTCACAAGATAACGCATATGTCTTCAATTATACAGGGTGTCCTAGCATCGGTAGTACAATCCAGTTGGGGGTGATTCTACATAAGAAAATAAATCGAGAATAAAGGATAAAATTTGTTCATTTGAGGTTTCGTTCTCGAGAAAATCGGTTTTGAATATTCAGCGAGTACGCGTACACGTAACAATGGTTTAGATGGATGGATCCCGATACAAGTCATATTTATGTTTATACATATAACACTTATAAATAGTACTCATATACATGACACTTATAAGTAGTACTCATATCATTAGTATCAAGATGATGTGCTGTATTACTCATTTCTGTCTACGGATTTAGAGTGAATTTAAAGTCTGTACCGAGATCAATCTATCTAGGCCATAGTTACGTGTACCCGTACTCGCTTAATAGTCAAAATCGATTTTCTCTAAAACGAAACCTCAAATGAAAAAATGTTATTCCTTACTTTCGATTTATTTCTTCATGTAGAATCACCTCATTCTCGGTTGTACCACTGATGCTGGGACACCCTGTATAATGTCTCTGATAACTAATAACAATATTGATGACGGTTGCCAGCACCATCAACCTGGCAGTATCAGAGCAAATGCCTTGCAAGTTAACTGCAGAAAGAAGAGAGTAAAAAGAAGGATAAGGGAAGGGAAATAGAGGGTTAAAAATAATTCTCCGGGTGTCGTACAATTGCGGGGGTATTCTAGCTTAGAATTTTCAAAATATCAATTTTTTATTTTTGCAATTTCTTAAAATGTAAACTTTTAAAAATATACCTATCAAAGGATTTTGTTGATTTCGGAAAATTAACGAAGTTAAGAACGTCTAAAAAGAACGATGTTATCATCTATAGATCATTTAGATTTTTAGATACTCCACTTTAAGCGAGGATTTTAAGGAAGTAAGCGAAGATTAGATTTTAATCGTAATCGTAAGTATATGTATTTGGCATAAAAAATGTTCAACGCGATTTGCTCGTAACTATATTTTTTGAAATGATTGCAGTGATATCTCAAGTTCTAGTTGACCGGATGACTTCAAATTTGAAGTGAATTCTCAGCACGTGTGCCTTTATCGTCCGAACCACGGTTTTCAAAATCTGATTATTCTTGATATTTTTTTTTAATGTATCAAGGATAAAAAAAAACAGAAAATCGATATTTAAACTTTAAAGTGGTGCCATTTTTTGAATTTTCAATATTTCATCATTATTCTGGTTCGAACCATAGCGACGCTAATATTGATGAAGATGTTTTTCGATTTTTTCATTTCAGATACTGCAGAACAACCGGAATCGTGGCACTACGAACATACTTTTTTTAGGAGGGATTGTACAAAATCACTTGTACTACGTTTAATTTTGATTATTTTTACCCGCAAAAAATTGTATATGTTCTTAAAATGTAAATAAATATGTGTGCAAAACCCTTTATTAAAATTTCTTATACATTAAAAAATAAGAAATTCGCCAAAAAGAACTAAAAATTGACGATCTAGACTAAAATACCCCTTATAGACTCTAAATTTATTCCCTCAGAGGCCGTAGTTAGGTTTAATTGAATATAGTTACACGGGTTTAGCGATCTCGAGGTACCCGAGCTAAGGGGTGGCCAGGAGACCTCAACCAAGTTAAAATGTTAAATATTAATTAACGTAGTCGAGTCAGATCTACATTCAAACGAGAAGCTTGAACTAGACAGTTATCACTAAATATAAATATAGCTACAACCCATCGTTTCTCACAGATACGCGTTTTGACTATTAAGAAATGTTTATTTGTTAATGTGTATATTAAATGGATAATAACACACATTATAACATATCGAAGCGATAGTGAGTTCTTATACAGCATAGAGACCACACTCTCGCTTAATTTATACGTGTGTTATGTCTATTAACACGATGGAGTGTGAAGGACTAAATATATTTTGATGAAACTTTACATTCGAGTTTCGTATATTTTATTATGTTTAAGTTGTTTATTTTCATTTTAAGACCTGATCATATTTTCAGCAAAATCCATTTATATATAGTGGCGGTTAATAGTAACAACTTTTTATTTTCCTTAAAATATATTCGTTACACATAAACTTTTTAACCCTTTGACTGCGGGACAATCTTTGCTAGAAATTCCAAGTGACGTAGAGGTCTGACTTTAAAAAAATATCAGTTTATAGGAAATGGTAAGACGAAACTTTTTTATAATTACAGTTTATTCATAACACGTTTAGTCTCTAAAATAGAAATTAAGAACGTAGAAGACCATTTATCTATGAATTCGATTACATTTGAAATGGTGAAAATGAAAGCATGGTTAGTTGACAATTACTTATTTGTCGATATATTAAAAAATATTACCTCATAGAGGATGATAAGACGAAACTTTGATATATTTACATAGGACGTTTATTCTCAGAGATAAGAATTAAAAAATTTTAGAAGACCTTTTTCCTGAAATTCAATTTTTGCAACGAACTTTTAACTTTTCAATTTTTATTTTCAAAACTACGCATCCTATGAATAAACTGTAAACATAAAAAAGTTTCATCTCATCATCCCCTATAAGCTGATATTTTTTTTAAATTAATTTAACGAATACAAACATTTCTCGGAGCTTATTTCTTCCGCAGTCAAAGGGTTAAAGAATGTTTTAAATAGATGTTAAAGAGAACTAAATTGTAATAAAAATGTTGTTTAAACTGTCCTTCTAATTTGTCTAATAAAAGAAGAAATCTTATCACTGATATAGTTATTTACTGTTCATCTATTTTTCTTTAATATTTCGACATTATACATTCGAACTCCTTTCATTTTTAAATACCACAAGTATTTTAATTAATATATTCATGAAAAAAATACTTTGTTTTCGTTAATTAAGATAGAGCTTTTTGTCAAATTGTATGTCAAAATATATTGCGACATATTTCTCTCTGTCGAATTTATTCTTCGACTGCAATTAGATTAAATCATCGCTTTCGCTGTAATTCAACTGTAATGTTCTTGAACTTTTGATAACATCGCGATTTGTTTTTGTCGATAGCCAAAAATGGCTACCACCCAGTTCCGATCATGACCTTGATGAGCTATCGAAACTTCTCGCATACATAACATTGTTATTACGTGTACATATAATAACAATATTACATTCAATATTAAATTCAATACAAAATCCACTTATTAAATTCATATAATATTGTTATTATACGTACATGTAATAAAAACATTATATAAACTCGATACAAAATTCAATTACTGAATTTATATGATATTGCTATTACGTGTACATATAATAACAACACTATAAAAATTCGATAGAATATATTAAAAAAACATATCTCAAATATCTTTTAACTTAAAACTTAATTTTCCGTAAAAGTTACTAGAAAATTACGAAAAATCAGAGCTGTAAATTCTTACTTACAATTACAAAACGTTTACTTGACCAAGTAATTGAATAATTCCCATTACAATTACTCTATCGCATATAATGGATTCCTAATTACTTAATTACTATCAGTAATCCCATGCATTACTGAATAATTACTTATAACGGTCCAGAAAGTAATTAAATGGCGTCTCAAATATAAAGTAGTCAAAAATACCTTAAAGTAATTAAAAAGTAATTATAACTACCTTTTTAATTACTTTCAAGAAATTGCAGTGACATGGACAGTAATTGGTAAAAGTAATGATTACTGTTTTCCAATTATTTGTAATTACTTTGAATTACTTTTGCCACCGATTTTGGCACACACTGGGCCATGACAAATGCAAATTTAAACTTTTCGTAGAAAGTGAAGGAAAGAGTGTGTTCGCGTGGAAAACCTTTCTCTGGGGATAAAAGGACACAAAAATACTTTGAAACAAATTAAATTCGAACTTATCGATGCCCTAATTTTATATTTTCATCCGAAAAATCATTTAAACAATAATGGAGTAATGTTCCAAGGCCCAATGTGTGCTACAATCGGTGGCAAAAGTAGTCCAAAGTAATTAAAAGTAATTAGAAGTGAGTAATCATTACTTTTAACAATTACTGTCCATGTAACTGCAATTACTTTAAAGTAATTAAAAAAGTAGTTATAATTATTTTTTAATTACTTTTAGGTATTTTTGACTATTTTAGATTTGAGACGTCTTTTAATTACTTTCTGGGCCGTTATAAATAATTATTAAAAAGTAATTGAATTACTCAGGAATTAGGAATAAGGTATTGCATAATTACTAAAAAAAAAATTAATCAACGATTACTTAAATAATTACTTTCTAATTTCAAAGGAATTGTTCCAAATTGTAATAAATTCCAAAGTAATCATTACGCTACAGCTCTGAAAGAAGTATAGAATTAAATGCAAATGGAAGATAATGTAACGCAAGAATTAAAGCAAGTGTTATAATCGAGTTATACGACTTTGCACTCTTATATATAATTAACTCTAAATTTAATGTCATATCAAAACATTATTTTCAAATTAAATGTGCGACTATTTTGGACGTGGCTATCTATTTAATGCACCGATTAATTAAAATTCACAAGTACAAGGAGTTTTATAAATGGCTAGCGATCAAATAAAAATTGTAAAATATAAGATTTGATGGTACGATAAGTATACGTATTTTCAAAATTTTATCTAAAAAGTTACTGTCTATTGAGTTTTGCACGTATGCCTCTCCTAAGGGAGAATACCACGTAAGAGGGTCACGTATTAAATGTTTCTCAGGATATTTATTTTATCTAATAGATTTCCATGTAAAATGCATTGACAAAATTACCAAATGTACTTTAAAACATGCCTGAAATATTCTTGGAGTTCTAAAAACATTACATTAATTCTTCTGTGCAAAAAAAAAGTATCTTAAGAAATATTTAAATCTTGAACTCTTACTATGGTTTTCCCATAATAAGAAAGTGTACTTCCTTTTTTTTTAATAACGTATCAAGATCGTCACTAAATTCAACATAAAAAAATAAGTACTGTGTTACTTACGCACATCACCCATGGCAATGTTTTGAGCTCGTTGCATAACGTCGTCGTTGAAGAAGAAGTTGGGCACCACCTCGTACAAAGGTGGAAGTTTGATGTTTCTGGTCTCTGGGTGGTGCATAACAGCGACGGACAAACTGTAGACGTACATTAGCTCGTTCACGTTAAACCTGGCCCAAATGGCGGTGTTGTACAAGGTGTCGAAAGTCTTCGCGCTATGGAGAACGCGGAAAAGGATAACCGCTTGATGGCGCATTTCAGGGTTGGTCATCGTAAAAACCTGCCCACGTGGAAGCATTCCATGCTTGAGGAGGTCCAGAAACTCGGTGACTGCTTCCTGGAAATAAATAAACCTTTGAGTGATAGAGAACCGAAGAAAATTTAATTGAAATTGAAAATAAGAAATAATTAGAAAGTAATTTGTATTTCAAAACGGTATTTTCAATGTACAGTGGGTGTAGAAAGTATTCGTACACTGATCAATTTCCAAGAAAACTATTTAAAATTGTTATTTATTAACATATTTTTGATAGACAATGACATTTTACATATTCTCGGAAATCTCTACAATAGATAGATTACAACAAAAAAATAGCTATTTATGTAAGTTGCGAAATTAACAAGAAAAACACAATTAATCGATAGAAATATTGAAGCAATAAGTATTCGTACAACTGTTTAATTTTTAAAACTTCATTAAAGAAAAGAACGAAATTTACATTAATTTATGAATATATAATACTTCCTTCGTGGGATTTCCTTTTAATTTTATAAGTATTGCAACTCTTCTAAGCGTTAAATTAACGAAATTATTAATTATTCGAAATGAGATCTTCTTCTATTCTTCTATTAGAATCTTTTTTAAAAGTACGTTACTGAAAATTTGATGTTTTCTAATTCGTACGGAGCAATAAACTAACGCGTTTACGTTACAAACTCTGCTGTAAATGGTTCGTCATAAGAATCGTACAAATACTTATTGCTTCTATACTTTCACCCACTTTTCGCATTTTTTTGTTAATTTCACAAATTATATTAACGAGTAAATGTTGTTTGGAATATACCTATCTTAAAGACTTCTGAGAATATGTAAAATATCATTGATTACAAAACAAGAAGTTAAGAAACTACAATTTCACACAAAAGTTTTTTGGGAAATTGATCGGTGTACGAATACTTTCTACACCCACTGTAGATATTTGCAATTAAGGGGTAAAGGCTACTCCAGAAATGTCAAAAAATCGATTTTTTTGTGTGTTTGTTTGATAGTATGACGCCTTAAAGCTTTAAGAATGAGAAAAACCATATTTCAGAACCCGGGGAAATCTCAGAGGTCGTTTTCGAATGTTTTCCCTCGGGATCTTGCAGCACGCACCAAACATGCGGCGATGACACAGCGCGTTTTTCTCAGAGCTACATTTTTCAAATCGTGCGAAAGAATAACTCCTACAACTCTTGTCCGATTCTCTTAAGGGGGGATGGTCAAGTAAAGTTCGAAATTTTTAACGTTTTTTTTTTTGTTTAGAAAATTAGTTTACCATCTGGACAATGTGCTCCGACCATTTCAGCTAAAACTTCGAAGTCTAAGTGTACCTACAGAGGCATTAAAGTGATGCACTTCGAACGGTACACGATGGACTATATTTAGATCCGGAAATTTTAAACGCATTTTTCTCAAAACACAAAGTTTCGCGTGCCGAGCAACGAGTGCTTAGAGATTTCTCAGCCGATTTTTTTTAGACTTTGCATCAGTCTAAAGGTTTCTATAAAAATTGAAATAAACGATGTTTTTAATCATTTTTTTTATAAGAAGACTTTTTTAACGTGGCATGAAATTTTTAATTCAAAATGTTTTTTTTTTAAATCTAGGTTGATGCAAAGCGTGTTACTATATTTTAACGAAAAATTGGTGGATATTTTATTTCAAACAATTAGAGTGATCTATGCATTGCACGACGCATTTTCGAGAAGTCAACTTCAAACAGCTGCTGTTCATTCATTTATGAATATTTTTATATAAAAAAAATTATATGCTATAAAATAACAAGTAATAAGTTGTAAATAAATATATATTACGCACTCTTCAAAAATAATTCGCGAAAAAGCGGTTGTTTACTTGACCCTCCCCGCTTAAAATTTTGAAGGTGACATCTGTAACGCATCATCTAGCCGATAGCGTATGATTTTTGCAGTAAGTTTGGAACCTTTTCTTTCACAGACAATTTTTCGATGAAATTTTCGGAAAATAATTGATTTTTTTGTTTGTTTGTGGGCTATTTTACGTGAAAACTTTTTTTTTTTCAAAATCTCACACTCTGTCAACTAGCTTTTACAATATATTTACAGAAAATGTTCTGCTTTTTGTTCTAGCTTTAAATTTGTGTGCTCAATACTTTCGTCCATTTGAGGCATTACATAAAAGGTGCTTTGAAATCTTGGGTACTGAAACCGCCAGTTTAGAAGAAAAACATATAAACAAATTTTGTTTTTGCACATTAATATGCATTTAATGAAATACTCTACTTGAATTTTCCACTTCTTTTTTAATAAATTTCTGAAAAAATTCTCGAACTTGGCTCATTTTTTAAGGACCCGGAGTGTCCTTACCCCTTAAAGATAATATCAATTCATTTGAAATAATGGTTACTTTATGTAACAAGTTTTAATTGCAAAATGGTAAATTAGAAACAACTCCTTAAAATAATTTTGTTATAATGTTTATGAGTTTGTTATACTGTTTCTATTTCTTTTCTGTATCCGTGAAAATATGAATTTTCATTATTATCATCAGCTTAGACATAACATATCATATATTATCATTTAAAAAGTGTAAAAATATAATCAGGTCTTAAAATGAAAATAAGCAAGTTAAACAGGATGAAATATATGAAAATTGAATGTAAAGTTTCATTAAAAGGAAAGTTCAATTAGCACGAATTATTTGTCCAAATAAAGATTGTAGAAAGGTAAACCCACCTGGTCGCCATATTGGGCTACGTTGTCAGCGATGTTGAAAGTACGAGCCTGCTGAAGGAGATCAGGGAAGAAGACGGTGGGTTGATCGACGTGCCAGAAAAGCTCGTAGATGTTTTTTTGCCTAGCGAGGTGAACTGCATCAGTTGTAGACGATTGGTCGGCCTGCGCCAGCAAGCAAAAACTGGCCAAAATGCAGAGAACGAGCTTCATCTTCGCGATCATCGTTGAACTAAAGTCGGATTAGAGTCGGATTAATGTAAGTTGTGATCGGTTTTATATACCGAGTTCGTGTTCTCCGAAACGTGATAATAGGTCGATAATATATATCATGGTCGATTTAGACTACGGTCGTGAGGGTGGTTGCTTTAAAAAACGCTTTATCTTCATTTTTCGTTTCGTGTCGCATACGTTGACATTGATAGGGTGCCCGATTCGAACGATCCAATCAGCACGCGTGATCAGTCGGTTCCTACCTTTTCGTTATCTGTATTTTTCGCAAGGCTGTAACATAATGATTTGGAATTTATTACAATTTGGAACAATTCCTTTGAAATTAGAAAGTAATTATTTAAGTAATCGTTGATTAATTTTTTTTTTAGTAATTATGCAATACCTTATTCCTAATTCCTGAGTAATTCAATTACTTTTTAATAATTATTTATAACGGCCCAGAAAGTAATTAAAAGACGTCTCAAATCTAAAATAGTCAAAAATACCTAAAAGTAATTAAAAAATAATTATAACTACTTTTTTAATTACTTTAAAGTAATTGCAGTTACATGGACAGTAATTGTTAAAAGTAATGATTACTCACTTCTAATTACTTTTAATTACTTTGGACTACTTTTGCCACCGATTGTAGCACACATTGGGCCTTGGAACATTACTCCATTATTGTTTAAATGATTTTTCGGATGAAAATATAAAATTAGGGCATCGATAAGTTCGAATTTAATTTGTTTCAAAGTATTTTTGTGTCCTTTTATCCCCAGAGAAAGGTTTTCCACGCGAACACACTCTTTCCTTCACTTTCTACGAAAAGTTTAAATTTGCATTTGTCATGGCCCAGTGTGTGCCAAAATCGGTGGCAAAAGTAATTCAAAGTAATTACAAATAATTGGAAAACAGTAATCATTACTTTTACCAATTACTGTCCATGTCACTGCAATTTCTTGAAAGTAATTAAAAAGGTAGTTATAATTACTTTTTAATTACTTTAAGGTATTTTTGACTACTTTATATTTGAGACGCCATTTAATTACTTTCTGGACCGTTATAAGTAATTATTCAGTAATGCATGGGATTACTGATAGTAATTAAGTAATTAGGAATCCATTATATGCGATAGAGTAATTGTAATGGGAATTATTCAATTACTTGGTCAAGTAAACGTTTTGTAATTGTAAGTAAGAATTTACAGCTCTGATTTTTCGTAATTTTCTAGTAACTTTTACGGAAAATTAAGTTTTAAGTTAAAAGATATTTGAGATATGTTTTTTTAATATATTCTATCGAATTTTTATAGTGTTGTTATTATATGTACACGTAATAGCAATATCATATAAATTCAGTAATTGAATTTTGTATCGAGTTTATATAATGTTTTTATTACATGTACGTATAATAACAATATTATATGAATTTAATAAGTGGATTTTGTATTGAATTTAATATTGAATGTAATATTGTTATTATATGTACACGTAATAACAATGTTATGTATGCGAGAAGTTTCGATAGCTCATCAAGGTCATGATCGGAACTGGGTGGTAGCCATTTTTGGCTATCGACAAAAACAAATCGCGATGTTATCAAAAGTTCAAGAACATTACAGTTGAATTACAGCGAAAGCGATGATTTAATCTAATTGCAGTCGAAGAATAAATTCGACAGAGAGAAATATGTCGCAATATATTTTGACATACAATTTGACAAAAAGCTCTATCTTAATTAACGAAAACAAAGTATTTTTTTCATGAATATATTAATTAAAATACTTGTGGTATTTAAAAATGAAAGGAGTTCGAATGTATAATGTCGAAATATTAAAGAAAAATAGATGAACAGTAAATAACTATATCAGTGATAAGATTTCTTCTTTTATTAGACAAATTAGAAGGACAGTTTAAACAACATTTTTATTACAATTTAGTTCTCTTTAACATCTATTTAAAACATTCTTTAACCCTTTGACTGCGGAAGAAATAAGCTCCGAGAAATGTTTGTATTCGTTAAATTAATTTAAAAAAAATATCAGCTTATAGGGGATGATGAGATGAAACTTTTTTATGTTTACAGTTTATTCATAGGATGCGTAGTTTTGAAAATAAAAATTGAAAAGTTAAAAGTTCGTTGCAAAAATTGAATTTCAGGAAAAAGGTCTTCTAAAATTTTTTAATTCTTATCTCTGAGAATAAACGTCCTATGTAAATATATCAAAGTTTCGTCTTATCATCCTCTATGAGGTAATATTTTTTAATATATCGACAAATAAGTAATTGTCAACTAACCATGCTTTCATTTTCACCATTTCAAATGTAATCGAATTCATAGATAAATGGTCTTCTACGTTCTTAATTTCTATTTTAGAGACTAAACGTGTTATGAATAAACTGTAATTATAAAAAAGTTTCGTCTTACCATTTCCTATAAACTGATATTTTTTTAAAGTCAGACCTCTACGTCACTTGGAATTTCTAGCAAAGATTGTCCCGCAGTCAAAGGGTTAAAAAGTTTATGTGTAACGAATATATTTTAAGGAAAATAAAAAGTTGTTACTATTAACCGCCACTATATATAAATGGATTTTGCTGAAAATATGATCAGGTCTTAAAATGAAAATAAACAACTTAAACATAATAAAATATACGAAACTCGAATGTAAAGTTTCATCAAAATATATTTAGTCCTTCACACTCCATCGTGTTAATAGACATAACACACGTATAAATTAAGCGAGAGTGTGGTCTCTATGCTGTATAAGAACTCACTATCGCTTCGATATGTTATAATGTGTGTTATTATCCATTTAATATACACATTAACAAATAAACATTTCTTAATAGTCAAAACGCGTATCTGTGAGAAACGATGGGTTGTAGCTATATTTATATTTAGTGATAACTGTTTAGTTCAAGCTTCTCGTTTGAATGTAGATCTGACTCGACCACGTTAATTAATATTTAACATTGCTTTCATTACAATTTGTATTATTTCATACGTCCATCGTTATTATAAAATTGGCGTGAAAACTTTTGTACGTTAGTCATTATCTTACGATTGTCAAAAAGCAACGACAAACTAATTATTTATTATAAAGCTGTATTGCAGATAAATTCTATCGCTTAAAAATATGACAAATCATTTCGGGAGCACAAAGTCGAGAAAAGTTAATTGCGTAATTTCACTGTGAGAGTAAGATAAAAATAAAAACAAATACATAGATTACGTGCACTGAAGTTTACCAGAATGATAAAATCGAAATTTTCATTCCGTGAAAAAAATGTTTAGTCGGTTCATGTTGATCTTTTGCTTAAAAGGTGCGTGTTATAATTAGGCTATACATTTATGCATTAATGCAAATGTAGGTGTAAACATACAAGAACCTGAACAAATGTATAAATATATAAAATATAAAGGAAAAAATACACGTTGCACCATTTAAAAGTCAAAACGTACTTTCATTTAAGTTTCTCACGTATGTAATATGTTTTTATTCGTAATTTATTGTTTAAATAAAATTTGGCTTTTGTCTAATGCTGACAAACCATTGCATAAACACTAGTGCTCGTAGCGATGCTGTTCAATTATTAAATCAATGTTAATGCTAGTACTAGCAATTTTATTATATAATATTATTATAATTAATATTAATAGTAACATTATATTTATTAAGTAATAATTAACGATTGAAATTATAAAATGGAACTATATTTTACATTGAACGAGGAGAATTCTTTAAATAACTATTCGGTGAAGGGGGTATCCTGAATTAAGAGGTCTAAAAAAAGCGGTTTTTCGTGAATTTTTTTAGGATGGAAAAAAATAATTAGTTCTATCGAACTTTTTATCCTATTTTCATACATAGTTGAGTAGTCTGTACAAATTTTTTCAGCAAGAAATATTCAAATTGTATCGACTGTGACGCAAATTTATAGAGCACCTCACAATTCAACCTCCTATCGGCGGGAAAGATGCAGGTCGTAATTTTGGTTTGACACAAAAAAACCAAAAGAAATTTTCATTTTCATACATTTTTCTTCTCTGTGAACTAAGAAAAAACCCGCAAAAATGGTGAAATGTGAAATTACTGCTAGTTTGAAAAAAATAACGAGTTCTTTGGATGAAAAAAATCACTTTAACTTGATAAAAAAGTTGTTTAGACTTTTTTTTGTATGAATTTTTTTAGTTTACATAGAAGAAAAATGTATGAAAATGAAAATTTCTTTTGTTTTTTTTTATGTCAAACCAAAATTACGACCTGCATCTTTCCCGCCGATAGGAGGTTTTAATTGCGAGGTGTTCTACAAATGTGCGTCACAGTCGACTTAATTTGAATATTTCTTGTTGAAAAAATTTGTACAAACTACTCAAATATGTATGAAAATAGAATAAAAAGTTCGATAGAACTAATTATTTTTTTCCATCCTCACAAAATTCACGAAAAACTGCTTTTCTTAGACCTACTGATTCAGAATATCCCTATAAATAATCATTGCTAATAAATTACTACTAATTTTTATGCGTCATCTTAGTGCTCAAATAAAATTTTAGCTAGTTGTAATGCTGATATAACCGATTGATACTAATAAATTAATGTATCAATATTAATGGTTGTGGAATGCTGATACTTGTAATAAAATTAATTGTTGGCAATCGATAGAGCGAAGATCAAAGTAAACATTAATAATTAACATTTATAAGTATGAAACTATGTGTACATGCTGCAAACACAGTTCATCTAAAAATATGCATAAGGAAGCGGAAAAATATCGTTCATAGACTAAATAAATCAATTAATCAACGCACTTGGATTCATGCGTGAAATAGAATTGAAGAAACATTGCATACTGATAGACTTTCAATTTCCGCTAAATAACATCACATTATCCTTTGACCAATGAAATCTGCTATATGATTGTCGTTCACCTTTGACATCAGAATCTGCTGTGCTTGATCATGCAGCGGGAGAAAGTGCTACTTATCATTAT